TGAAGGTTTCAGCTAAGACAAAATGTAGTAAACTCCAACTAGGCATATCATCAAGAAAACAAATTTTCTTTTCACAAGGTTTGGAAGTATGATGAGCCAAAAACATCTACCTAGAACTAGTAAAGACATTAGATTTCCAGCCTCTATAAATTGCCAAGCTCTCCTGAATCCTTCAAGAACTGTGACCTTTCAATAAATTAAAGTTGACACCCAATGTCAACCTAAAACCTGCAAAACTCACGTTGCAAGAAATTTATAAGATTTTAAAACAGGAACAAGCTGTAGTATGTTAAAGAAGATAAGCAAAAACATTAGGTGATTTTTTTCCATCTATACAAAAAACTTAGTGAAAATACATTACTAAAACACTGGGTAATTTCGTCCAGAAAAACCGACCGAATGAGGAAAAACGATCGATTTCTGACCGGTTTTAATTAGTCAGAAAAATAATGGTCTCTAAGTGTTGCGAGGGAAATTGGTCGAAATTTCTCGACCGAAAACGGTTGCAATTTTCAACGCGTTGCTGACAACCATTCGGTCGGTATTGATTAAATTTTATTTATTTATTTTTCAAATAGCGACCGACATCGGTCGAAATTTTAAATATATAATAATTTTATAATTATTTGTAAATTGTAATAAATTTAAATTCAAAATTATTACTAAAATAAATAAATTTAAATTCAAAATTTCTGACCGATTTCGGTTGGAAATTTCAAGAATCTGGAGATTTCATTTGAAATTTCTTTGAGTTTTTTTTTTAAAAAAAAGAATAAAATTTTCGACTGACTTCGATCGGTTTTCTGGGTAAAAATCGGGTAGAATATGTCTGCTTTTAAGCTACACCACCTGCCAATTACAACCAATATACATCCTATAATGGTTACATTGCTGTCATTCAACCATAATTAACCAACAACAACAACAATTAACCAACAACAATTAACCAACAACAACGCTAATAACAACCACAACTACAACAACAACGCTAATAACAACAACAACGCCAACCACAAGAACAACTATACAAATGTTCAATAACAAAATAATATCAACAATACAATCATCATACAAAACTATTCCCAACTAAATATTCACAAGTTCAAGACTTTGTTTAGCAATACACACCATTCAATGAGTGTTTTATATTGCATCATCTCCATCTTCACTACTAGAACCTTCATCGTCGGCATGGTTCGAAAGATATCGACGAGAAGGATTAGCATATGGGGAAGGCTCACGAGACCGGGGAATGGGGAAAGCACCACTAGCAAGAACATTGGCCAGCTGACCTTGAAGGAGATTAAATTGTTCGTCCCTCTTTCTAGCTGAACTTGAAGGGTATCAAATTGTTCATCTCTCTTTTTCAAGCTCTGCTGTCAGCTTTGCTATCTTCTTTTCCATAGACGAGATAGTCGACCTATCAATTGCCTCGCCTTGGGCGGAAGTCCCTATACCTTGCAATCCAGCCATGTAGCGCCGAAATGATCTCTCTGGAAGGCTGTATGCTATCCCCTTATTAGGACCACCAACAACATCCAACTATATCCTCTGCGCTTCTTCGTCTGAAAGGGGTGGTCGCTCGCCTTGCTCATTCGGTGGCAAGCTCTGAGTGTACTCCTACACATTAATCTTGTAGCGACCCTTTATTTAGAAGATAGAAAATTATCTACTATATAATATTATAAACATTTATAGTAGTTGTAAAACTTACATATGCAGTCTCCGCCCGGTCCTCGACCTATCTAGTTGGATCTGTCGGTGCCTTCTTCTTCCGGATGTGAACCTCCATGAAGTTTCATCATGAGTCATCTTCCTCCCATATTTTTTTTTCCTACAAATATAATAAAACGTGTTAAATAAATTAAAATATATAAATATAGTTCAATAAAAATAGATGTAAATATTTTAAAGAATTACCAGTAGTCTCCTTGTAGTCCCCATGCTCCTTGCACCCACATAGTGTAAGGAGCTGCCCTTATCAGATGCTCGGGCCTTCTTTCCCTGTTCACTCCTCTTCTTGAATTTCTCGGTGGTCCACTGCCTCAGCAGATCCTCCCATAAATGCGGTAGAACCCATGAAGGCTTCTTGTTCTTCTTTCAAGCCGAGAAGAAGGAATTAGATAGTCTCTTACGGCATTTGAACACAAAATTTACACTTTTATACCAGTCCTCCAGGCACACATAGTCTGCAAATAAAGTATGTAACGTTAGATGAATATATATATATATATATATATATATATATATATATTTTCTAGTGGTGATAGTTACTTGGTACTTAACCCGTTTGTCATAAAGCAAAATTCCTTTTTTTTTTCAAAAGAAAAAATTCAAAAAT